AAAAAAAAAAAAAAAAAAAAAAAAATGCACTCGAGATCCAAGGAAGAGGTCCATAAAGAAAAGGTAAACCCCCCCACAATCTGATCATGGGGTAAAATTCTTTCCTGACCCTAAATGTGGCAAAATCAGTCTAACCTCAAGTGGACGGGCAAGACCCTCTAGCCAAGAACTTCCCAGTTTTCGTCCTAGGAAATGGTTAAGCTACAACCCACAAGCACCTCCAGAAGTCAAATGTTCCCATCTGGAGGAGAGGGAGAAAGAAGTGAATCCATCCGTGTTGTGCATTTTTTTATTATGCATTTTAAAGCATGAAGAGCTACCTAAGTTTCTCTTTTCTTCTTTAACAGGGTGCAACATCGTACATCATCTTTTACCATCTACATACAAGATTTTATGAAGAGCTAAAATGTAGCCTGTAGCATCAAGAAACTTTGTTTGTGGACCAGCATGTTTCAAAAGGCAAAAACTTCAAAAAACTAGTTCCTATATTGTCATGGAATTCTAACTGATGTTAACAGGCATTATGCATCTCACCATAATATTGAGCTGATAGAGCATGGGTGGGCACAACTGTTTGGGCTGGAGGGCTACTTAAGAGTTTTGGTGAGCTGCTGTGGGCTGGGCAGGGGCAGGGGGGCTGACCCAGCCTAGAGCAATGGGTGGGGGGTAAAAAAGGGAGGTGCAAGCCATTGATCCTATCCAACCAGCTGCCAGGGGCACCGGATGGAGTAGGTGGGTAGACAGGCAGGGTCACCATGAAAACCAGCCCAGGACCTCCACAGGCAGGGGGCATTCATCTGGCCAAGTGGAGTGGGGCCAGGATCATGGGACAGTGGCAGAACGGGGAAGGGGCAAGAGCTGTAATCTGCCCCCTGTACATCCCTGCAACTTGTGCCGGTTCTGCAGGCGGGAACTCGTGGGGAATAGATCTTAGCTCTGCCCCAGGCCCCGGTCCCACACTCTCACTGCTCCAGGAGGGATCTGCTGTGAGCTGGACAGAATCCCTTGCTGGGCTGGATCTGGCCCATGAGCCATATTTTGGCCACCCCTGTGATAATGCGATAGTAAATCATTGGTTTTATGAGAAATGCAACTTCAGACTGACACACTAAGCAACATTTTACTGCATTGTGATGCTTACATCTTCTAGAATAAAGCATCCTTAAACTCCATATTATTTTTATACTCTATAATAACAACAATGTCCAGATAGAGGACAGGTGATCATTGGGCAATAGGTACATATCTACTGTGACTTCCAGCATGACACGGGTCATCAAAATGAAGACTAATCCCTGCACAGATTTCAAAACTTTGGATAGAATCTACCATATCCCTAAGTCAGTTGTTTTGATGATCAAGGCTCCTCATTAACAATTCTGAACCTAGTTTCCAGTCTAAGTTGTGCTACTTCAGATTCCAACTACCCAATGTTACACCCTGTTAATTAAAGAGGCTATAAAAAGCATCTCCCCATTGAAGGTGCTTACAGCTGGTGATCAAAATCACCACTAATTCTTCCGGGGGATTGTTGAAAGTAAAGGGCCCCGCTTGCTCCTCCCAGCCACAGTTCTCACTGGAAGACAGACCTTCCAGGCCTCTAATCCATGTTGTAGTTGGGTTCAGAACCCTTTTTAGCCTCTCAACATCCTTTAAAAAAAGCAAAAGCAAAAGCAAAAGCTGATCTCTTGCATGCTACATGCCTAGGCCACCCGTTTACTTCCGCCAGCCTTCCCCTCCAATGACTGCATTTGACCAGAACCACAGTATCATACTAACCACTTATGACTCCAAATTTGTAAAGCGTGATGGCTTTCTGGGGAAAAAGGTCTTGTAATAAGCCTATGTTGACTGGTATGAAACTATACTGCTAACTACAATTTGTTATTGAATACTGTCCATTATCTACCTTTCCATGCGTTGTATCACAACATTCATCCTGGTGAAAACCAGGAGGCACAAGTGAAAGAAAGTGTTATTGTATAACATATCTTGCATCCATATGAAGTTACCTGTACACAGTACCAATACCTTTAAATTATGTAAAACCATTCCAAACCAAATGCTTCTGATGGCAGTTTATCTTAAAATACACACCACGCACACACCTCTCTATAATGGAAAAAGAATCGCAGCAAGACTCTATTTCAAGGTATCACAACCTTTATACCAATTTCAATAATTTTCAATACACATATTTTAAGTATGCATGCATAGCACCATCCCTAGCACTATCACACAATCTGAAAGACTTACTGTCCAAATGCAATCAAATATCAGTTCAGCTAAGCTGAACTGCATTACAAAACACTGCTCTTGCTTTCCAAAGTTGTTTTTTTTTTAAACAAACTTATTTAAAAAGCTAGGAATAGCTGAAGGAAGGTGAAAGAATGGATTGCTATTCTCTTAAAAGGTTTTAATAAGCAAGTATCAGTCATGTCAAAGATACCTATACAAGAAATAATATAATTCAGAGCCAGATATTCAGCTATTTCACATTCTGGGACAGTTTTTATAGGATACAATCAGCTTTCCTTCTGTACAATACACAAAACTTTCAGTGTACAACATGTAGATGCAACTCAGTATATTAGCAAAAACAAACCAAAAAAATCCAAAACCAAAAACACATACACGCTTTATAGATGACAAAGTCAAGTAATCTTATTTCCAAAACATTCCACACACCCTAGGGTGTGACCAATAATCCAAGTTAATAGCATGTTGTATCAACAGCTTAAGCTAATGTCTTCTACAGGGAGTCTATCAATTGATTTAAGAAAAATCTAAGGACTCAGTTTCCCTACCAGGCGCAAGCTACAAGACAGAGACTTATGTCTCCATGTCACAAGCCCTATTAATTCTTGACAGAAGTCTTCATTTTTCTTCCCCAGAGTAAAAGGAGGCAATAAGTTGTGGCACTAGACCAGTTGTTTTAATTGAAACCCCATACAAAGCTCCTCATTTAGAGTTCAAATACAAGCAGCATTACATGGGCATTTTTTCCCCTTCCATTTTCTGGGCACATTTACTTTAAGCAAAAAATTAAAATGTACAGAAAGTTCCAGTCATATGTACTAACTGGGATGTCAGGATTTCTATTTACTTCTGCAGAAGTTTGTTGTAGTATAATGCAATTGTGCAATGGAAAAAAAGGGAATATATGCATGTGTACTGACGCCAAGAGATAACCAGCCTTTGACAGCATCATATAAACTAGATTTAAAGTGTTGGCTCCAAAAAGCAAGTTTTCCTTAAAAAAGCAAAACAAAACAAAAAAAGCCCAATAAAAAAAGTTCCTATAGATCAGTCTATTTTAGGTACTCATCTAAAGCATCACAATGGCTACATTTCTTTTTTTCTTTTCATTAAAATCTCCATATGTTTCCTTTTTACAAAAAGCAAAAAAGGGGCCTTATGGCTAAGTAAGCTTGGGATACAATTCTGACAGTTTCTGGTGACTTCTAGATGGAAAGTAAAAAGCTAGGCAAGGTGTTTTGTAGTGTGTATATTTCAGAGTTCTGATTCTCAAAGTTCCAATTGCTCATGGGGAACAAGCCTACAATTACTGAGAGATGGGTAATTACTAGTTGGCCCATGCTTATGCCCATATCACACACAAATGGCTCTTTTCTTAAGTTGTAATGGCATCGAAGGCCTACTTAAATAAATATGCAGAGGACAATAAAAGACCTGATAAGCCCTTCATGCTCATGGAATCCTAGAACAAATACTAGATTTTTGTGTGTGTGTGCGTGCGTGCGTGCGTGCGTGCGTGCGTGCGTGCGTGCGTGCGTGCGTGCAACAATTTCAGGGAAGGAAATAAAGTAGTATTAAAACTCCAATTCAGTACTAATTTTCAGTGGTGGTGGCCATTAAGTCTAGGTATTGAACATGCAATAATGGCTTTTTTAATAGCTATTTTCAAAACATATACAGGTTGCACAGATTTTTTACATTGGCTTTTTTTATCCCTGAAATTCATTTTAGGCTGTTTTACACTAATTAAATTTCACATCTTGGCAAATCTCTACATGGTTATAAGACTAGTAAAAGGATCCTGATTGTTTCTATATGGTTTGATTAATGGTTGTTGACTAAGCCAGAACTGTTTTCAAACTGAAGACTACACTGAACTTGTTAAGTTTTGGCTTCCTCCACACTAGCTATGGAAGCAGTGTTAGAAACTGGCTTGGTTAGAGCCAAATGCAAAATGTGGTAAGGGCAGAACCAAGTTCTTCCCCAATTAAATTGTGTGGCAGTACAATATCTTGCCCTTTTCCTGCAAGCCATCCAATTCTCAGCACTGAAGTCTCACTAGAGTCAAACTCTGAAAAATGAGATTTCATTGTGTGCATCTTTTGACCTAGAAAGACTACCAACTCTTTGAATTAATCTGCAGCTCGTTTTAACAGAGGCTTCTCCAGCATGTTAGTGGACAAAGACTCTCTCATAACATTTCCTTTTATGACTGACCATATTCATTTGCTCTTAAAAGGTGTATTAAAAAATTTCAGTGTTTGGGGCATTAATAATCTTTGTTAACATGCATCAGCTAACAAAAAGCAAGCTTAAAGAAAAATCTTAAACTTTAGATTGCCTCAGTTTTGTCACCTGGTGACAGAGGAACCACTTTACTACAACAAAGTGAAAACAAAAAAAGAGCACAGGTCTATATAAATACTTGGTTTTTCCTGCATGCTCATTCTAGGTCCAAGTCAGACACAATAAACTCTCAAAACCCACAGTCTTTCCTCCACCCCACATAACTGCCTAGATATCCAGCTACTTACAGAGGAAATGGGCAGGGTGAACCCCACTGTGTAGAGAACAGTGGATGTGATGGTACTGTCATGGTACGGATACTTGATGCTGTCATCATTACAGAGAAAGCCTCTCTGATACGGCTTTATTTTGGCCAAGTTTAGAACACCAAGGGGTAAGCCAGCTGTTGGGGGAAAAAAACACAAATGGTTAAATCAAAATTCACATGTAAGCGGATACAGAGGAAGCTACTGAACATGCAAAAACTCAGGTTTTCCCACCCATCCCACCAGTGACTTGCAAATTTAAAAAAAAAAAAAAAATCATGTCATGCACACACTTATCCACCATTGTTACAACCAATATGAAAGTTTCTTAATTAGGGGCCATCCACAATGTCACCTGCCAACAACTGCATAAGTTGGAGAAAAGTACAGAATTCAGAATCCTTTGATTAAAATGTTCCCACGCACAAAGTTCTAGCTCAAGAAATTAATACACCACCTATACATTACTGCAACTTTCATTCGGGATAATAATTGGTGCATCTACACATGTTTTTACACGCACCTAAACTTTATGTGCATTACGGCAATTTAGGTGCATGTGCTTTTGCAGGCATCAAATTTAGGCATGAATAACCTAAAAATCTTGATTTTTAAGGCACATTAAGGATGCATACATGTAGACCCATACCCTTAATGTACTTTTCATTGGGCACATCTACACATGCCGATTGTAAAGGCAAAATCTGGCCCTATTTCTTCCTTCCACTCCCCATAATGTTGGCTTCTGACTGAATTGCCAAAGCTGTTCTTATTTCAAGTAGAGCTGACAAGCAAAGACTACGAGTGACCAAGAACGTTTTGTTAAGATCCCCTCAGGTGAAAAAAAAAGGATAAGTGAAAATAAATAGATAAGTTAGCATATCATACAAATGGTTCTAAAAGAAGAGAGGGAAAAAAAAAACCTTTCAGACAAACAGGAAATTTGTATACCTTGAATTGACCTCAAGTCAAAAGTCAGTCCAATTTGTATATCTTTAAGAAAGAGACTTTATGCAATTACGAGACTTTAAAAGTGGGACTCCTACAAGATGTGATCCTACATATTTAGGACACATTTGTTTGCATCAGACCCCAAATTCTAATTTCCTCCTCTTTTACATTTCAGGCTGGCTCATCAAAAACAAGAACTTTCTCAATTAGCTTATTAAGATGAACTTTCACAGTTGTGGTCAGCCTGTATGCTTTACTGCTGGGTTACTGAAGGCCATTTACATGCAGATATACAAGACGGTTCACTATTGTTTTCTGCTTATTTCCCTACAAAGTAACTTCTGGACTTTCTCCATTCTTTCTCCCTTATGTAATTTTGTATATAATAAACTGATAAATAGTCAAGATTAATGATTTTTAAAAAAAGAAAAACAGCCATCACTGAACATCTTTCTGCTGGGCAATTAGTATACAGAGAACCTTACATGTCAACTGTTAACGCTTGATCAGCTGAAGTCAAAAAGCATGGTTAGTTTAGAATTTTCTTATGTTTCTTAAAAACAGGTAATAAACTATACAAAAATACTGGTCACCATATCAACATGAATATAAATACGTTACTTAACCCAGCCTTAATAGACAACATAAGAATCCATTTCCAAACCCGGCTGGAGGACCAGGGGGGGGATTATGCCAGCTGCTTTCCAAATAAAGCCATGTTCATTAAATTCTTAATGAGACTCCCTAGATCATCCCAGTTAGAGTGCCCTGACAATGTGACAACTGGTAAGAGACTCACACAATACCTAGAGTTCACAAATCTTAAATCCATGGAGTGTTGCCACCTTCAAGGAGTTACACTACGCCCCTTGCATTACCATGGTAATATGACAAAAGAGGAGGCTACAATGGTCTTCTATTGCTGAGGCTACAAGGTTATTTACTAAACTCTTCTTCCTTGTTTTACAAAGGTCATAATAAACAATAGTTAGAAACATTTATAAGAGATAAGGCAGTCATAATTATTGTAGTAGCGAACATGGGGGGGGAGCACAAAAGCACTGCTGTTCTTAGAACAGTAATAGTACAAAAATCCAAAAATTTTCCTCACGAAATTAAATTAAAAAAAAATAGTGCCACATGTCGACTTGAATTGGTGATACTTATTTCTTTGAATAGACTTGACACTGCAAAGTTGCCATAGGAATTTCATAGCTAGGGTCCAATTCTGCAGACAAGCAGTCAGACAAATGCATTTTTATGATCAAAGTGCAGCATAAAAAGTATGCATGCACGCTGAAAGGCTAGGCTAGTCTTACAAGTATTGATCTTGGTGATTAGATCTGTAGGAGCTTATGGGCTCCTGTGAAGTACCAATGAACTTGTTCCAGAAGAAATGTGAAATCCTATAGATAGGCTATATCCTATCCTGTTAGGTTTTACAGTCTGGGGCCAGCAGAAGTATTTGCTGAAGTCTGAACATCAAACCAAGTAATACTGCTGGGAAGCAGACAATTACAGTCACTTAAAAATCATGTACTTAACTCAGGGGCAGGCAATTATTTTGGGCAGAGGGCTGCTTACTGAGTTTTGGCAAGCCATCGAGGGCTCCATGACAGGTAGCCCAGGGCAGATAAATATTAAATTTTCTAAATTTTTTTGGGGCCCCGCGGGCCAGATAAACAGCCTGGTGGGCCACATTTTACCCACCCCTGACTTAGCTAGATAAGGACTCTCAATGGGCAACACACTACCCTGCCAATGGCTTTGTGTACCCTATACAAGCATCTGGCAGGACAGAAAAAACTGAGTACAGACCCGAAAGTTCTTCAGTGTTGCTTAAGTCCACTAAAATCAAATATACTAGGGTACCTGCAGTAAAGTTGTGACCTCATTGATATTAAAGGAATTTCGCCATGATTTTTGGTTTACTTATCATAGTTTAAGCTGTTCTTTAGAAAGCATTCACATTTGACCTCCAGCATCTCCCTCCCCTCACTTTGGTCCTCAAGAGCACACAATGATCTGTGCAGGTCTCTTAAGAGAACATTAAAAAGCTCACTCAATACCACAAGACTTAATACAGACATGGTGGCAAAATGAGCAAGGATGCTTAAAATGTTGAAGGAGCACACATTTTGTTAAGGAAATGTTTGTTTTGGAGTCCCAGGTCATAAACTTATGAGCAAGTCAGGGAAAACCGAAGGGTGCTTGTAGATGTGCTGCGAAGCTGCTCTACCACTGTAATTACAGCATGCCAGAGCAGATTCAATTAAATAGACCCTGCTGGAATGTGGCAGTTACCACATTCCAGCCAACCTCTGCATCCCTGCACTTCAAAATGGCAGTGGGGGCACCTGAACAGCTTGTTTGACAGGCTTTAGTTCAAGTGTCCCCACTGCCGTTTTGAAACACGGGAACACTGATACATGAGATGCTGCAGCACTTTAACTAAAGCATGTTCTGGAGCCACACTAATTAAAAGCACCCTCCCCCTGCAACCAACACCACCCCTAGAGCATGTGTAAAAGTGCCACAAGGTTCAGAAATAGCGTGTTAGGTTTTTTTGGCAAACCGAAGGCCATACTGCTGCACAGAACTTGAAATTAAAGGGTTTAATTGTATAACCTTCAGCAGTAAAAGATCAAGCCTACTTCACAAAAAAGAAAGAAAGAAACTGTAGGATATTTCGTCTTTCAAGTATTTCTTTTGTCTGACGTGTAACAGATGAAGTGTCAGAGAACTCGGCTTAAAAAAAAAACAAAAAACCAAACATGTAAATGGTGACAAAATCTGGTTAAATTTTTCTTCTCTCAATTGCTGCCTTATTTTTTATAGAAGCCTCTCTCTGGGATAATTCCTGGTTTTGGAAAAAGTTCTCACAGATTTTTATGGTGCCTCTGCATTTAAATATAAACACCTCATTTTTATTCCTTTCTGGGTTTTCCTTTTCCATTTTAAAAATAATGCGCCTTGTTCTGCTGTATAAAAAATGCCACCAAATAAAAAACCTTGATTATGTTAGGACTGAAAAAGCACTTTCTAAACAGTGTTTAGGTAGCACATACAGTGTTAAGAAACTGGAAAGTATGTTTACTTTTAAACCATAAGCTACTATAAAAAGCAGCAAATGAGAGGGTTGGGCTGGTCGAGGCCAGTTTCACAAAAGTCCCTCCACATTCACTTGTACTCTGTGCTACACCAAGACTTTAAATATATATTTAATGTGAGAAACTGGAAAGGTCAGTGGGGCAAGCATTCCAGTCTCTACCTTTGCCTGCTTTCAGTCTAATACCTTAGGTTAGCTATAAAGTGTGCATACACCATTTAGACTGTAGTAGAATTATACATAGAATCTCTCTTTCAAGTTGCCCAGCAACTAGGAAGGGCATTTGCTAGGGGGGAAAAAAACCAAAACAAACAAACAAAATCTGGTTGGGAACAAACAATTTTTTTTTCTATTATTATTGCTCATTGTGGTGAAAGAGGGTGTCATCTTGAGTCAATACAGATGCTCCTGAGATTCTCACAGGAACCTGAAACAATCTGGCACTGTAGTACAGACCATTGACCTTACCTCCAAGCATCAAGTACTTCAGTTCCTACAGACTCTAAAGGGACCAGAGGATGCTCACCACTCCTGAAGAGTACGTAGCTATTCAGATCTTTTTTCCTTAGTGCAGTGAAGAGGAGTTTTTCAATGCATACAGTGAAAAAGGAAAAACAAACCTAGCAGAAGAACATGAGAGTTTGTGCATCACCGACACTGCAGTAGAATTACACTACTGATTCTCAAGTGGGATGCCATGGGGGAAAGCTAGCTAAGCCAAAAAGAGCACAGCCCTCGACTTCCCAACAGCCCCTACTTTAAATTGCCCCTAGACTCCAAATAGCATACCCTGCTACAGGTGACCAGATGCAGGGCCATGTGTTTTCAGCCCAGCTCATTCACCTGCCCTTCCCATGCTCTTGGAGCTGGTGGGAGGGGCAGCAGGGGCAGGTGGCTCCTGCATTTAAGTCTTCAGAGGAGTGGCCACAGCATCAAGGACTGCACTCATCCCCTCAGACTGGGTCCAGGGCAGGAAGGGTGAAGTTAACAGAAGGAATGGGACACAACAGAATTCTGCTCCCACCACCTTCACTTAACACCAGCAACCACTGTTATCCCCTCCTGCAAGGATATCTG